GAAGAATCACCAATTAGTATTTCTATTCTAAAAACTAACTCTTTCCTATTTAATATAAGACATAATACAATAAATGTGGCTTTGTATTGATCAACTCATCCGACGAGAGCTTTCAAATTCATTAAGTATTATGTTCTGACCATAAGATGTCTGGACAGCAGTTTGGATTGCACCATGATTGTACAACGACGTGGTGCAATCCATATCGTCATCCGGACATCCGGACGACGCAAATAATATTTTCTCACCACAAGGAGCCACCATGAGAGGTACAAATCTCATAAACTACTTGAATTTGGGCGAACCGTTGCTCATATTCTATTTTATAGGGAGGTTGAATCAAATGAGGGGTGGAGAAGTTGGGTCAAATTAGTCGATTATGAAACTTATTTTAATTCAAAAACTTAATGTGAGCTTCGAATCACTTTTGGTCTTAGTTTTTATTACTTTTTATTTTATTTTGATTATTTTTTTATTTTAAATAAAAATGTGTAATGTGTTAAGTTTTTTAAATATTAGTATAATATTGAACAAATTGATTTATGCGCCGACCTTGATAATTTTCAATAAAACTGTGATGAGTGTCGGTAAAATAGAAAAATATAGCGTATGACGTCCAGACATTCTTCTACGTCTGGACGTCAATAACATAACGCTACATGGCAGAACCCCACTTTCATATAAAATAGAGCAGAAAAATTCACCAGTGTGAAATTCGTCTGTGTATGACCCGGACCCGGCCTGATTAATTATTACTTTCAGGGTCATAATATTTATCGCGTGTGAACGGGCGTGAAAGTGGTATGCATGAGCTGGAATAAAACATTGATTTTAGAATTGTGAAGAGGAGAAATTTTGAAGACAAAGAAGATCTTCAACGACGATGTATAGCGAACAACATATTGGCGACGTCTTCAACTCAAACCCTACAGTAATTACTTTTCAATTTGGAAAGCACGTGAAATGTTATTTTATCATGGAAGAAAAATTAGCGGTATTAGATGATAGGTGATATATGTTATATTATTATTATTTTTTGTTTCTTCATTAATATATTATATATATGAAGGAGAAAATCACTAAATCTTATCTAATTGTTTCCAAGGGTTGTATGCTTAGGAAACATTATATAGGGTCGCATAGCGCGGTAATATGTTATCCCCATGAAGTTTGTTAGAAACGGTGGAGCCCGGTCCACTATGTTTTGGCGGTTACTTTACTTTGAAAAGTCACATATCTTCACAAATAACCATTCATGTTTTCTTATTTTGTGAAGTGAAGCGTCTCTTCACTCTCTCTTGTTAGTGATAAAAGTTTCGGAAGGCTCTCCTTGGGTTTAGAAGTCACGCTTTGAGTTCTTCTTCGGTTTCCTCGGGATAGAGGAAGGTTTCCTTGAGGCAGAGGAAGATTTCCTCGAGGCAGAGGAAGAGATGTACAAGGAGAAGCAGTTCCTTGCGGCAGAAGGAAGAAGGAATAAGACGAAGATTGTTCTCCCTAGACTTCTTCTTGGTGGCTTGTGGCAGAAGAGAAATTAAGTTTATTTCTCTTGTAAGTTCGTTTTCTTCGGTGTATCTCGGTGTAGAGTTTCTTCGGTGTATCTCAATGTAGAGAGATAAGAACAGAGAGAGCAAAGAAGAATGAGAGATTCCTCTTGTAAGTCGAGGTGATCGACATATGTAAATTCCTTAAGTAGTAAAATCCTCTGCAACTCTGTAGACGTAGGCAATTTGCCGAACCACGTAAATTCGAGTGTTCCACTGTGTTGTTCTTTTCTGGTGTGATTTTTTCTCGTTCTATTTTTCACTTCGTCGATCGTTCTTCTGTTTGATTTATATATATACCACATCAACTGGTATATCTAGATCTCGCAGCAACATCAGAAGTTATGGTCAAAATAACTTTGTAAAAAAAAATAAATTGTCTTGCAAAATTATGTGTACGTTCTTCTATTGAAGAACATGCACGATTTAAGTCTCTGAGAAAGGCGTGAAATGCAATGTAGGACATATGAGTTAAGATATATTCATAAATTTATTGAATTGAACAACTAATTCATCAGTTTTAGTGATGTGCTTTGTGTGCAAGCTGAAGTTGATCCTTGATTTTGCGCATTCTTTGAGCTATAGAAGGCCATTTTAGAAGCTACGTATGAACTACGTACTGCAGTTTAGTCATGCTTCAAGGCTATCAGATTGCTGATATGAGTTAATTTGTAAAATTTATCTCAGGTTTCTTCATTAATATATTATCTAAACGAATGTTATATTCTAAACTATGATTAAATCTTGTCATTCGTTTTCCTTTGGTTGTTTGCCGAGGTAAAATTATATACAGTGCCCCATAGAGTGGTAATGAGTTATCTCCATGCAATTAAGGGTTGATTATCTTAAGAAAAAGCTTACAAAATTCAGTAAATTATACTGCTACAGAATGTGCATGGTATTTTCACTGAATAAGATGGCTGATTTGATTTTGAGGAAGGTAAAAAATGCCAATTATGCAATATTATTGATGTTTATTCATAAATTTATTAGATTTAAGAAATAAAACATCAATTTTTGTGATGTGTATTGTGTGCTTACTGAAATTTTTCGTTGAATTTGCACATTAAGTGAGCTTTATTGTGTTACTTGTACAAAAATAATCAAACTTTCTTCAAAGAACTATTGCCAAAAAGTGATAAAATAATATTTTACATGTGTATGCACTATTCACTGAGATTAACTCATGTTTTAGGACTATCATTTACCTGATATATGCTAATTTAAAAAATTTATGTTGGAGTTCTTCATTAATATATTGTCTAAACGAATGATAAAATCTTGTCATTTGGTTTCCATTGTTTGTTTACCGAAAATAAAAGTTTAAATAGACCCCCATAGTGTGATAATGAATTTTCTCAACACAATTCTGGGTTGTTTCTTAACAAAAAGTTTGAAAAAGAGAGTAAATTACACTGCTACACGTTGTGTAGAGTCTTTTTACTAAAGCAGACTCCTGATTTGGGACTAGAAGAAAGTGAAAAATGTTAATTATGCAATATTATGTGAGGTTTATGTGTAAATTTATTTTATTGGAGAAATAATTTATCAATTTTGGTGATGTGTATTTTGTGTTTGAGAAGAGGTTCCTTGAAATAGTGCATTATATGAATATTGTGTTATTCAAGAAAAATTAGCCCAACTCTTTTCAGAAAACTGGTTTCAATAAGTGATAAAGAAGCCTTTTATAAGTTGTGTATGGACTGTGCACTTAGGTTAAGTCATGTTTTAGGGCTATGAAAGTCGGGTTCTGTCACGTGGCGTCATCTTATTGGCATCCGGACATAATATTTTTTAGTAAAATATTTGTTATCGTTGGTAAGGCAATGATAGCACGATGACAACAATAGTGGCGGTCAATAGCTAGAGATGGTGGCCTATGGTAGTAATGGACACAAAAAAGGTGGCCTATGGGCGTCTATTAGCAATGAATGGGCAGTAGCAATAGTGTTAGTTATTATAAAAACATTCAAACCAACTATTGAGTAATTTTAAAAATTAATTTATTTATTTGTTAAAAAAATAAACTATAAATTATGTGAAAAATAAATATATTTTAAAAATAAGACAAAAATAAAATAAAATAACAATTCTAAATAAGCCCTGAATATATGGGTGAAGTTATGAAGTCAATACACTTGTCAGCAAAGTTTAACATGAATTTGCTACAAGTAGCTCAAGGATGACTAAATCCTTCAAAACAGATCGAA